CAGGAATTTTTTTTCAACTCAGCACAAACAATGCTTTTGAAAAGACAATTTTTGCAAAAAATAAAAACTTTGGTTCCCTTCCTCCTCTTGCCCCTGAAGCGCACAGCTCTCAAACGTTTTGAAGGCACAGGAATTCAATTCTGGCTGAAGATCTTTAAGTGGGGAAATGGGGGGGGAGGGATTGCCCATATGGCAGGAAGTACATGCCACAATCAGAGAGAAGCAACTGCCCCTGGGAGCAACTGTGTTACTGTCATGCTTCTGTAAAATGATTTCTTCAAGGCATCTAAAAGACGATATAGAAAGCTGTCTAAAAGCAAACGTTTAATATCATACAACATTTCCTTCTTGTCTACTAAGTTGATTAAAACTTGAACTTAACTCTTGTTTTCTGAAGCCATGAATTCTTTTTCTTAAATGTGCTTGTATTTATTTAACTGAACAACAGTTATTTCAGTAGGAAATTAAGGATAGATTCTGTCCTTATAAGTTTACTAAGCAAAAGCTGTTGATTCACTAGACGGTGAGCACAATTGTGTTTCATTTTGAAGATATTTTTTCACAGTCATCTAAGGAAATCCCCAAGGGTGTTGGCCCAAAGGAAATTAGTTATCTGCCTTGAGAAGAAAACATGTAGAATTAAGCAAATTTTCAATCCTACTTCTACACAGTTTGAAAGAGACCTTCCCTTCCTGGGAATTTACTGAAGCTGTACTAATTAAAGTGTGTACCAAATGTATGTATTGAAGGTGGTTCTTGAGGCAGAGAATCTTCTTCTTATGAACTCTGTGCATTCTTTCTCTTGATAATCCTTTTATTTAAAGTTTTACCCAAATTAAAGCAACAGCCTTGCATATAACAGTGTTAAAATCACCCCCCACCCCCAGGGCCCCCCTCCCCCCCCCCCCCCCCCCTGCCACTCTGAGCGGCTGGTAGCTGAGGCTTAGGGAGGAGGAGTGGAAGAAGCAGGGCATTTACAGGACAATCCTATTCTCTGTCACCTATACCAGTCATGAGCAGTTAACACTTTAGGGATTTCCTCAACCAAGAACTGTGTCTAGACTATGACATCTGATAGCTGCCAATGGAGCTAGCCTTCAAAAACGTACCTAATTCTTTTGAATACACTTATTTTTTGGCCTCCACAATATCCTGTAGCAAAGAGTTCCCCAATGTAATGATGTGCTGGGAGAAAAAGAATTTCCATTTGTTTTAAATCTGCTGCTTGATCTCTTCACTGGTGCCCAATCACTCTTGTGTTTTAAGAAACAATGAATAATCATTTCTTATTCCTTTGCCACAGCATTTTTGTCCCATGAAGCTTTCTCGTACCTCACTTTAGTCTCTTTAGTAAGCTACTCTGTTTAGTCCTTCCTTCCATGTAGTGCAATTCCATATGATATCCTTTTTTGAGAGTTATGTGCTGTGTGATGTATGGCTCATCTTTGTAGCAAATTAAGTGTAATGTTTACCAAAAAAAAAAAAAAGCTGCGCATATACCCTATAATGTTTTTAAATGGTTTTTAACAGAAAATAAGTTTTTGAGCTGTTCTAAGGATTATCAGTTCATCAGCCATAAAACATTGCTTGGTATCCTGATTTCTCTTTCAAATAGAATTAGTCATTTCCATATGGGAATGCAAAAAGGTAACATGGAACAGAATCAAAGCACATCTCTGTATTTGGCTAACATAGTTCCTCAGAGCTGTTAATGATCATTCTCATCAGCTGTGGGTCATCCATACTAAGGCATGTAATCTTTTTCCTAAGAGGGGCCCTCAGTTCATTGTGTACTTTACTGGGTATTTTCTCACTTTGTTTCCATCAGCTTTATAAAAAAGGTAGTGTTTGGGGGTTTGGAAGGAGTTTTATTTTTTTTCTTCATTTTGCTTTTCCTATTTCTTCATATTACTTTATCACCAGAGAGGAAATAAAATGTTATTAATATTACCAGGAAAAAGAAGCTGAGCGATTAAACATTTAATCTTCTTCAGACATATATTCTGTGGTTTTATACACAGCTAAGTAACGTTGTATAGACTGCTAGTGTCACCCAGTGGACAGAGAAGCTGATCACAGATGGGTATCCTCATGTAGGGAAGTTTTTCTCTCTGTAGGAGTATTTAGTTCCTAACTGCCAGAAATGGCCTTAGTTTTGCAGTAGTTAAGATAAGAGGACACCTGAAAGGTCCTCTGTTCTAATACCATGGCCATTGCTAAAAACGTACTCTACGCAAAAGCAGGAAGTATACGTGTTCCTCACCATTATAAGGAAGTGGACAAAGAAATAACCAAAGACTTATTAGTGGGGGCTCTCTTCTACCAGGAAGAAGCTAACTAAAATAACCAAGCAAAGCAGTATTTGTGCTGGCGTTTACGGATAGAAGTGAAGATTATTAAAATCTGATTGTAATGACGCTGTGCGATGCAACACAAGATTGCATTTTTTTAGCCTAATAATTGCTCATGACTACTCAGCTGAACAAGACCTGAAGAATCCTCCCTTCTTCACAGCGTTACAACCATAATATATTACAAGACATGCAATGTTCACCTTGCATCCAAAACTTTAACAGAATAAATCACCTATGAAAGATGAATGCATCTCCTGCCAGAAATTCTAGCACTTTCAAACCACACACAAAAACTACGTAAGTGCTTAAAACTGGTTTCAGTGTATGCTTCATCTTAGACTTCTTTCTGATTTGCAGAGACCACTTTACAGAATGTTGGAAAACTGAAGCTTTTTTCTTTTGTTAAAGACTGAAACATACTGTTGTGTGATATGCTTCAAAACTTCTTGCCACAGATGAAGCAGAAATGTGTTTAGATGTGCAGAGAGCTGGATCTAAACACTGAAGGCCAAAGGAACAAATCATGTTCCTTTCCTAAGGCTATGGCAAGTAGCATATGCTACTTGCCATATGCAAGGTGGAATGAGAATGGCCTGATGCACCGTAAGTCCTGAACTGTTAATAGCTAATGGAGAGTTGGGGCTTCTGTGACAATGGTCTGTACTCCTGTAGAAAGAAGACTACCATTCTACTCTCTGCCTGGTCCAAATAGACATGATGTGTCAATCCCGAAGTCACTCATTTGTAACCAGATCACAGAAATAGCACTGAAAGTTAATAACCACCTATAATAGTTTTCACATACCAAAAACATGCCAGGAGCTACGTTATGTCTCTGTACCAGTAAAGAACCTTTATGATCAGTATATGCATCTGCAGAGGTGATGTCATATTTGAGGAGGCGAAAGGAATCCAGACAACCCTGAAGCAACAAAGGAAGCATAATTCTTTAAGTAGGTGGTAAACTGTGTCTGACCAATTGAGCTAATAATATTCCTTCTAAGCAAGTCCTTATGAACATAATTATCTTTCATTTTCAGAGTGGGAAGCAATGGTTCTTCACACAATAAGTTTGGCAACAGGAGTTTCCAAATTTCTGGATTTCTCTGTGTGTGGGTGTATTTATCTCTTATTAAAAGGAACAGTTCCTCTGATTTATAAAACTAGATTTCACAGTTATGAGAATAGTGGTGGTAGCTAGTCACTGTGCAAACTCTTTATGGCCATTCTCATAATGCCCAGGAATCCTGACTTTCAGAAACCTTCTGCTCCTGCCATTGGTGAACATTGGTGAGCCATACCGGACTAGGCTGTGAGGCAAGGTGGCAATACCCATGCCTTTTTCCCACCGATTCTGCAAATGGGCTTTCAGGTCAGGCTTCCAGCAGTAAAGAACAATATGAAAATTTAAATCTGAAAAAACCCTCTCTTTCTTCCTCTTTTTGTTATGTAAAATGTAGATATTTAATTCAGAGTTAGCCTCTACTTCTTGGATAGCAATCTTGCTGGTGCTGAAAAGCATAGGAGTTTTCCCAAAGACTTCAAGAAAGCCAAAATTTCACTCCTTCTATGTTAACGTCTTCAGATGCAAAGCAGAAATGATAGTTGCTGCGAGACCAGTTTCTCAGAGAATAAATAAATATGACAAAGGAAAAAGAGTTATTTTGATCCCTTAATTGGTACTGTGCCACAAAACTAGAAAGAGCTTCAAGACCCAATTCCAGGGTTTTTTAGTCAAGGTTTGAGGTCCTTGCTCTACATCAAGGGATAATTCAGGATTACTCCCTAGGCTCTTCCAGAAAAAAGCAACAATGTGAGGAATTCTGTATCTTTGAAGATATGTAATCAAATAGTACTGTTTTTCAGAAACAATTTATTTTGAAATGTCCCTTTGGTAGGAAACTCAAACATTTCTAGATTTTGTTCCACTTTGGAACACTTTTTTTAATATTTAAATTTCCAGTGGAATACAAATTCCAACTGGAGTTGGTGCCAGTTAGATTTCTGGTGAGACCACTTTTCAGATATTTTAGCAACCAGATAAACAGAAGATCATTCCAAAAAGACTAAAGTTTTCAACGACGTGTTGCAAAAAATAGCTACTGCCTGATGAAACCCACCTGAGCACAAGGCATACTTCTGTTCTTGTTTTTTCTTTCATACAGCTGCTCTAATTTGTCTTCACTAGGATCTTTTTTTATTTGTGAAGAAGAAGAGACACAGACCACTACGATCTGCTCCTTGGAGGACATCTGATTGTTAATTAGGTGATCATATTCCAGGTCGGACACATTGGGAATCTTACGATTACTACATCTGCATGTCTTCCCTTCCTCCCCCATCATAATTCTCCGAAGAACAGCAGGGCAAGCAGTCTGGGATATGACCCTATCATGAGGATTAGAAAATATAAGGAAAAGTGTTAGCAAATTAGACTGTTAAGTAAACCAAGCATAGATTGAAGTATCACGTAAAATGGTGCCTCTAAGTGACAGGCCCAGGCCCAGTTTGGACCCTTGTTATCTGAAGTGTGCTGTCATTTCCATGTTTCAGGCACTTCTCAAGGTCTGATGAAACTATGAGTGCTGTTGAAGCTCCCAGCTTCTGCAAAACCACAGCTCCTGAAACCAAGCAGAGAGGGGAAAGAGGGAAGTGCTTTAACCAGATGAGCTGGCCAGGCAGGCTTTTGTAACGGCTAAAAGCAGACTTCACAGGCTATTCCTGAATTATTTGAAGGTCTCATGGGCACCTCTTATCTCTAACAGCTGATTGGAGCATATTCATTTTGCATTCATGTGTGTGTGCTATGTGTGTGTGCTATATGTGTTGTGCTATTTGTTTTCCATAAGTGTTGTGAAGATTAAATTGTTTGAGAATTCCTTTGACTTTTTTTGGATTCTACAGGTTTCTCTAATTGAGTAGAAGCACAAAGCAGATGTGCCAAGTTCCAGAGCCTTATCTTCGCATCTCTAGTGTGAAGACTTTCTATAATATCATTAGTAAGAACCCGTCACACAGCTCTGGCTGATGCTCTCTTTAGAACACTAAAGATTTCTTACAGTGAGAGTAAATCCTGTGAAAGATTGGGACAAACAAAAAAATTACTCTAAAGCCCCCAGGCCTTCTCTGAGGCCTCCTGAAGCTAATGGAAAGACTGTTGCTGCGTTTGGGGATGTTGGATCAATTCTGAAATGATTGTGCCAAAAGAAAAGCATCAGAACAGACAGAGTTGTGAGGAGCACTGCCCTGAATTAGATGTTTGCTGTAGGTACATTGTGCTAGAGGGAACAGAAGGAGAAAGAAATAAATCTAAAGTTAAATGGGTCAGAGAAAAGAGAACACAAAGAATCTCATGGACAGCAAGAGAATATGCAGAATTTTGGTTTTGAACTACACATGTATGTAAAACAAGATTTTAATTTCAGCATGCTAGCAGCAAGAATGACATATTTGAGGTTTGTGATATATTTGGTTTATTAGTCAATGGAATTAGCCATATGGAATTAGAAGTACTTTGTCCCTTTATTTTTGCCCATTTTTGGACAGCGTTCAGTTTGTAAAAACCACTGTTGCTATTCAGTTGTATAAAAGGTATTGATAAAGACAAGCTTGCCTCAAGGATATAATGCAGTCTTGACCACCAAAAACATCACTTCATTCTGCTGTTATATGAGAAATTGCAGGCACAGCATGAATGAGACCGTTGTGGATTACATAGGTTTAAAAAGTCACTATTGTTTTTGATACAAATGCAGTGCATCCTATGCAGTGGTGTAAAAGCATGGAGGCACAGGTGGAAATGCTTAACCATGTCCAGAAATGAACTGCTAGTAAACTACTACCGTTGATGTTTATACTAGAGCCATCACTGTCCAGTCTCAGTTCAGATTTCCTTCCCCTGAATTTCTGACGTTCTGTACGTTCCTCCATTTACTTATATGGAACTGAGTCATACGTGGCTTTTCTGCTTTGATACTGCTATGTGCTAAAACAGAAGCCCTGTAGAAGAAAATAACAGCAAGATAGTGAAAGGGTCCTACATTAGCAAGAAGTGCCATGGATCGGTTTCAGATAATTGCTAAGGATGACGCAAACCCCTCTGCTTCAGTGGATTGAATAAAAAAACATTTGTCTGAGACTAGCTGAGAATCTGAAATTAAATATGGACTGTCTTGTACTTGAAAAGAAAAGGACTCAGGAAAGATGCTGAAAACAGTATTCTCTCCATCAATATTTTCTCCATTTCTCTGACTTCTATTATACATTTCCAAGAAGTGAAAGAAGGTTGCATAACTAAGACTTTTCAGCAAACTCTTAGAAAGCAAGCCTGAAGCTGAAGTTTTCCATATATTAAAATTGGCAAGTGGAGGCACTCAGAAGAGCAGAGCTTTCAAGTGCATAATACTCATCTTCATAAATGCTATTCATATCCATCTTCATAAATGTTTGTATAGGGAGGCATCACTCCCAAACAGAGTTTCCTGGATGCTGCTATCACAAATATGACTGAAAATTAAAAAAAATATTACTCTTATTTGCTGAAATAGTATTTCAAGATCTATGCTGGGCTTTTTTTCAAACCTTCCTGATTGCTGCTTTGCTGTTCTTGCTGCTTTTACAATGTCATGCATTGTAGGCATTGAAGGCTCTGAGGTACTGATAATAACATCTCATGGAAAAAGAATATACCTTCTTGCTGGGTGGCACAAGTAAGTGATCATAAAAGAACCATTTAGTGAATCTGGGAAAAAGCAGCTCTTCCATTTCCTTCTCTCCTCCCCCTCATTTACCTGAGAGAATAAGAGCATGGTTCCTGCTGCATGTTGTGAGGAGGAGCCGACTGCAGTTGATCTAGAAGGAGAGGACTTTCTGACTTGGTAGCTTGGCTGTTGTCTTTCCTCTTCCCTTTTGATCTCTGCATGACTGAGGTAACTGAGAGAGCATCTGCAGACTGAATTTTGCATTTCCTTGAGAGTTGCAGAGGAAAGTCAGACATTTTCTGAATGTGTGTGGAGTCAGTTCCTGAAATACAACACAACTGCTGAAGTCAGTGACAAACTTGGCCTTCATTTGGTAACTGATGGTGTTCATGTGCTTATACATGTAACTTGTCTGCTGTGTGATCCAAACTAGAAAAACAATGGTGAAAGTTAAGGCCAAATTCTTAACTCATGAGGCAGAACATAGATCTGATCTTCATGCTTTTACATCTCCCTCTTCCTGTCCTGAACCAGCTCTGGATTGTTGGATTAGGTATAAATAATTGGCAGATTGGCAGGTTTTTCTGGTGACTAAACTGCAAGTCACAAGAAAAAATCATGAATGTTGACAATAACGTCGACAAGACAGAAGAGGGAAACTGAAACTTCCCTAAGGAACATGCTGAAGCTCAGATCTTCTTTCCCATAAGAGGACTCTCATATATGGAGTGTATCTCTTAGTAATTAATCAGAAAAGAAAGAATTCAAGCAGTGCCAGTTTTACTGACCCAGACATCATGTTCTTTTAGCTTTTGTTTGTATTATGAAGGAGCCTTTATGTATCAAGTACTCACAGAGTGATTCCCATGATGTGCAAAGCGCTAGCATGAGCTCTCTAAATCAAATACGTTCCATTCAAGGCTGAAATCAAGCTTATATTAACTTCTGCAAAGGCCCGGCTTTCAGGCTGCTAGGAGTTATATGAAATTTCAGTGGATTACATTACCAAACAGTTCATTTAAATGTTATAGCTAATGTGTATAGAACAATAGGCTTCAAAAGAAGCTTGTAGTTACTATATACTTTTTTCCTTCTCTTTTCTCAGTCTTCTTTCTTGCTCTACCTCCACAGTCTAACAAAAGCTGCAGTACCGTGGAAGCAGGGAATCAGATGGGTGATGTTGTCCCCAGTAATTTCCTCAGTATAGGACTGGAAACTGCTGTGTGTGTTCAGCCTGAATATCTCATAAAGATCCATGTATGTCTATATCGTGCAATGCACCTCACTGCAGAGATCCCTGAGCAAGTCTTTGTGCTTGGCTCAGTGCAGTACCGTGCAGAGGTTTCAGCCTGGCCCTGGGAACAGCATACTGTGTTAGCCTACCTCTGTGTCTGCACTAATTGGCCCCATCCCTCTAGGACCGATCAGCCCAAATGCAGTGGCACGCTGATGCAGCTCTGCTGCTGTCAGTTGTGGGGTGGGCTTGTTCAGCACTTGCCTGGCAATTTCAACACCACACTGTAGAGAAATGTCTGCTAACTTCAGGGGAACCATTTATTCCAGGAACTGCTCCCTTGCCCATTAGCCTCCTGTCTGGTTCAGTGTATAAGCCAGCAGTGTTTGGATTCTCTGAAGGTCAATCTGGGGCTGACTTTCAGAGGACTGTTTAGTCTAGTCTGGTACCTGCTGAGATAGAACCAAGCTCATAAAACCACATCCCCAGCTGTTGTCTGACCATGCCTGACCTAGGGCAGTTCGATAATGCTCCAGCCAGTCCTCCACAATGCTCCGGATCTTCCTCTGTAGCTTCCTCAGTTCTCTAGCTGCACTGATATCATTTACATGGCTTATAGTCTCCTCTGGACCTTTGTATTTCTTCAATAACTCTGTCAACTTTGGCTTTAAAAAATAACACAGAAAAAACAACATGAAGAACTTTACAATTCTATTTAGTGATCAATGCTGCTAAAGCAGACTCTGAAATAATATTATCAAATGCATCAGACCTCTGGAGATACAAACGCTCTCTGCATACAAGTTATTGACAGAACAAGGTGGTTTGTTAAAAAAATACATTTTCAGCTGACTCTGCCTTGAATGGAGAATAGGTGCAATAGTGAATGCTGCTGTCAGCTGGCCTAAGCAACCACATCGTGTTATTAAATTTGACTGGGGCAAAGGAGACTATAAATAAGGAAAATCAGGGCAGATCTGTCTGCTTGGCTGGTTTGATGAAAACTCCAGTGACTCCTAATTCTAATGGCCAAAGAAGATAGTACTTTACACTGTGCAAAAAAATGCATGAAGCAGATATAACTTAGATTTGTCACAGAACCTAGAGCCGTTTAAATCTTTGTCTCCCAAACAAATGTTCCACCTTTCATTTGTTCTGAACATGCATAATAACAGCTGAATATATGTAATAACATTTTACAAACAATAAATCATCTGCCAATGTATGTTTGAGAGAGCCTTTGATAACTACTGAAAATGAAAATTAAGAGCTAAGAAATTTAGACCCCTCTGAAAGATATAAATGTAACATCAAATTAATATAAAATTAATTCCACACAGAATCTCTACTTCATGCTTTTAAAAAATATCCTTACATAGAAAACTAAACATTTCTAATATTGTGCCCCTTGCGATTCATTTTTTTTACCCAGAAGGCGGCTGTGGCAACACTGTTGTGGTTTTGGTTTTGTTTCCCTAATTCTTTAAATTGGAGTAGGCACCAGATAACCCATTTCGATGCCAGATTTTGGTCCCATTAATTTTTTACAAAAATCAAAATCAGCCTAATACTTGCTTCTCTACTTGTAATTGTTCAGCTTACATACTTAACCTTCAGGTTAACCTAACTATTTTGAAAACTTTTAAATAAAATCTTAGTTTGCCTGCCAACCTTTGGTATTCTTTACAAATACTGCGGATTCTAGACTAATAATGTACTTTTTGTAGTTCAGTGAAGTCCTGTTAGAGGCCACTTTCACATCAGTATACATGTTCTACGAGGGTTCTTCTCCCCAGCAAGAACTCTCCCACAACAGACATAGTTGTCATTATGAGGCGGTTGGACAGTAGACAACATAATGCATCTCCTCCTGCTGGCTATACCTTTAAAAAACAGTTAATCCTTTCAGCTCTTTAGCCCTCAGAAAGCATCACTTGAAGAAAGGCAAATAACCAGTATGCCTAGCTGGCCTCGAAGAGTGTATTCATCATGTCTGCTATGATGATTCAGTTTTCATTGTGTGGTATTTAAATACTTGTTTTATGAGATTTTACTGTGCAGTGGCTTTAATTATGTGGACTTCTGACAACTTGAAAACAATGAGAATTATTTTAATTGCTATAAAAGAGGAATATTTACTTCGATTTTTAGAACAGAGATAGGTTAGTTTTTAGATATGTTTTGAGAGAAATTCTTGCAGATTATAAGGAAGGGGCACTTTTTAGCTTTAAAATTCAGAGAGAATAATTTTCATGAATGAGAAACAAAGGGTAAAGTATAAAGGCAAATGCTGATTCACCTTGAAGTTTAGACTTTTTTTGGTGCTATCAGTTAATCTATAATGAAATAATAGGAACACATATTTAAAATGTCACTAACTGCAGCTGATATTCTGATGTAAACAAGTCTCACCACCTCACCTCTGTTTTCAAGAAAGTCTGAACTTTCAAAATAATCAGTTCTTTTGGCCCAGTGGTGTTTAAAGTGACATAAATCTACCTGGAGGAGGGAGGACAGCAAGAGATCAAAGGTACCGTATACATCTGGTGTATATGGCCAAGGGTATCTCTAAATGGCTCAGCGCAGAGACTTAGAGAGTAGAGACCCATAATCAAATTAAACTGACCCAATAAATGCTTCTGGTCCTACCTTCTTCATGTGTGAATTCATCTTTTGGTGTGGTTTGTATTGACACACCCTTGTGACAATTGGGTAACTGAAGAAGCAGATACTTTCTGATTTAGCAGCCTCCCATTTCTTTTCTATAAATTTTCTCTAGGTAGAATTTGCTACCTGGCCTGTTTAATGTTAAAACCTGCTAAAGTCAAATTTTTTGCCTCAGAGCTGTGGTGAGAAATGCTTTGGGTATAAAGGAGTAGGTCTGAACTGAGACTTGTTTAAACTCTAAACACCTACTCAAGGGTATAAATGAGCCAAAAGCCTTAACTCCCTCTATTCTAATTCTCCCTCTTTCCC